TCCTTGACTGTGGCAGAGCCTAACTTGTCAAGAATAATGGTAAATAATGTCATACTTAGTATATTCATACCACATACTCTTGACTGTGGCAGAGCCTAACTTGTCAAGAATAATGGTAATATGTAAATAGTATCATATATTAATTTTATGTAATACATATACGTATATATATATTGTTATATTCTTACCTTTCTGACCAGGTAGAGCGCTCGTGCTGATAACGTGTTATAAAACTAGAGAGAATTGAAACTATAGAGAATAGAGAAACTGTATTCGTTTCGGTATATTTTTCATTACAACTGAAGTCCCTATTTATAGGAAAACTTCTGATGGTACAATCGTAATAATACAATTACATCAGGGACAAAATAGTCATTCACATATATTAAAAAATCTGCACGCGGTGTGCATGCGCACTTTCACAACATGTATGTGTTAATTATAATTTCATATTGTTGGTGCAATTATTCTCTCCACAAAATATGTGTATGTGTTAATTATAATTTCATATTGTTGGTGCAATTATTCTCTCCACAATCGGAGAAAAAGAGAGAGAGAAGAGAATGGTGAAAGTGAATATTTATTTTATCATAAATGTTAGTGTTGCACTTGCACAAGAACAAAATTTATATTTATATTATAAAATACTTTATTAAATATTGTATTATAGGTTATGTCATACATATTTGTTTAAAAACATATGTGCAATTATTAAACAACGATCTGATATATAAAATACAATTTTTTATTACAAATTTTTGTATGAAACAGTCTAACTGTTATACGAATCAATCCGTCATTTTTTTTTTTAACAATTAAAGTACTTGTGATATGTAATGTCACAATTTTAGTTATATTATTTTTAGGAGTACAATATTTTAATTTATAAATATTTTAATTTAAAAGTATGATTGGTAAATCGTCATGCATGCCTAACAACCTTACCCGCCCATGTTAATATGTTATTTCTTCCTTTCACTCTCGCTCTCCTAATGTGCTTCTTCAAAGAATTCATATGTTATTCATAATTCTGATGCACAAGATCAGAATCCATATGTTTATTAATCTAATTACTTTGAAGATATTAAGAGGCTCTTTTTTTTTCATTGATATGGTGGTGGGCATGGTTAATTGAACCAAAAGTTATGTCTCATTAAAAAATGATGTTAATGGATACAAATTATTGGTCATAGCTTCGTAAACAGTGTTTTTCTTAATTTTTGTAGTAATTATCAGAAGAAACCAAACCACTTTGTTTGTTTAGTTCTTTCTCTACTCTCTCTATCCATATAGCCTGATTAATTAACACTGCTAATCAGCTCAATCAGGATTATAAAACCTTAATTTGCTTAAAGTAGTTGGGAGGTGCTATGCTCTAATTAATTAAAATATGTGTAGGTNAAGGTCATGCTAATCTTTTCTGTATCGTTTCAATTTTATCAGATGTCCGAAGAGACTAAAACAAATGATAAAAAAACTGTGATGTTGCGAAGAAATTGGGGTATTCATACTCTAGCCCCAATTCTAATATTGACATTGAGGTAAAATTGTGGGGTTGCGGCTAGGTTAATTAATATTAGATAATTATCTTTATGTTATTTTTTAAAGTATGTGGCTTATTTTTAGAAATTCGCATATTTATTAAAATGGTATAATCAATTAGGTTGTAAAGTATAACACTTGATAAATAAATAAATAAATATAATTGAGTATTGATTGAATGGGCGATGAAAGTATACAATCAAATCAAATTTCACCAATTACAGACTCAAGATTTACGGTAATCATGAAACTGGCCCAACTCAAGATGTAATATCCCTACCGATGCTCATTATGGGGCCGACTATGATTCACCCGAAGATGAAGATGAAGATGATGATGAATTAAGATCAAATTACGAGGCAAATGAAGAAGACGACGAACTTCATCATCATCATGGGTGAGTCATAATCGGCACCATGGTGAGAATCAGTAAGCCACCACATAGAATACCATTATCATAAATTTTTTCTTCTTCTTTTTCTTTCTTCTTTTTTTTTTTCTTTTCTTTTCTTTTATTGGTTTTGTGTTTTATATATTGATCACTTGGGCTATTATTATATGAGATGTATCGGGTTGGACAGGTGAAATGAAATGAACATGTGTTGACTGTAACAGTTTTTAGATGAGACGGGTGGGGCATGAAATTAGCCTTTGTTGACTGTGACATTGGCATGCCTTATATTTTTATTATATTTATTTATTTATCAAGTTTTATCATACTTTATAACCAAACGTATCATTATTATTATTATTATTATTAAAGAATTGTTCCGTATTTTCTACTAAGAAATATAGTCCACTAACTATTTATTTAGCAATTTTTGTCCATTATTTAATATCGCCCGACGAAAACTCAAGCAAGTGTTGGACACCCCAATACTAGACACTTTGGGCCCAACAAGAGCCAAACTGTTAAGACTCTCATAAATAAATTAATAAGGTCCGTCAATTAAGTCCCACACTATTATTTGTGATTCTTTAATTTTTTTTTCTTCTCATATCATTTTTTAGACATTCAAATCCACGAAAACATTACTCCTACGAACTAATATAAAAAGTAGCCAAAGTTAAGATTTAATTGCAACACACACAAAAAAAAAGTAAAATAATAAACTAAAATGTGAAGAAAAATTAGCGAGGGGCACGGGAATCCTTACGTTGGGGCTTTCGACTATGATTCACCTGAAGATGAAGATGAGGATGGTGACGTAATTATGACGAAGTCCCCATCTATGATGAAGATCAATTGTCCTCGGATGAGGATGGAGACGACGATGGAGAAGAAGGAGGGGATGACCAAGATGATGATGCCGATGAGGAAGAAGAAGATGCATGCCGAGGAGGAAGAAGAAGATGTCGAGGAGGAAGAAGAAGATGTCAAGGAGGGAAGGAAAGAAGTAAGAAGAAAAAACAGGTCCACCCGTAATAAGAATTGTGTCTGTTGTTAATTATGTGTGTTTTATTTTAAAAAAATGGGCTTTGTGTTAATTTCATTTTAACATTTCAAGAGATAATTAATATTAACTACCCCGTGAGATTCAATTTAATAACAAAAACACGGTAACTTTCGTAGTTGAAATGCACCCTTAACCAGAAAATATATTATAAAGTTAAGCATCTATGCACCTCTTCAAATACTTTGGAACTGGAAAGCAAACACTGACCAGATTGAGTTTTGATATAATAGAAAAGGATCAAATTGAAAAAATAATGATGATGAAATCAATTCGATTTTATACAAATGAACAAGGTTTTCTCACCAAGTAGAGATGACTAGCTTCATTCCTGGATTTCGTTCTTTTCTGCAGCCAATGTGTGCAAATGCATATGCTCCTTGGTTTTCCCTGGGCTGCTTAATACAATTGAATTATTCGCATATAAATTTGAATTATGTTAACGGGGGACCAGACACTCTTTGAAGCTAGGATCACCTAAGCCCAACTCATTTATTGTTGCGCTTCTGAACCATTCTCCACTCTTCTCAAATTTCGAGTAAATTTCACTCTCACATATTTTTGACTTATCAATTCTCAGTATATTTAATTCAATTAAAATTGGAGACAACGAGATTGTATTACTATCGTCATCAAAACTATACCAAGATTTTAAGAAGAGCAACATCTTTATTAGGATAAGATCACATAGTCCGTTTAATTTACGCTACAATCTTGGAATCAGTTGCTTCGACCAACGACATCGGTCCATCCACCAATGAAAAGAAGTCGCATCCTCCTCCTTTATGTGCAATTGGAAAACACTCATTTTTCTTTTTATATATTTTTAATAGTATTATATTATCCATGTGGCAGAAGGAAGCAGCCAATAGCCATGTCATAATAATTGGCCTAAAATACATCAATGTGGTACTTCCAGCCAAAATTTGAGATTTCCAACATTCAAAGAGCTGCAGTAGAAACGCTGAACGAGCTAGAGATATTCCTTCATATGTAACCCGACAACTTAGGCCTCATTCGTATTTAATGAAGCCCCTCAGCATCGACCAAGTTAAGACTAACTTCGTCTCATTTACCAATCACCAACAATAAATACACATCCTCAAGAGATTAACCCATTAAATCACTAATGAACCACAAATGTGAAAAACAACAAATACGTATATTAAATTAAAGCTCATTCAGTCCTTCATAACTTAAGAAGTACGAGGAACAGGTCTCCTCGACTCCATGGTGGGCTGAGGGTCCATTGTTTTGCAGAACTCCAACAATGAGGTGAGGGAGTGGTAGAGGCACTTTCTTCATACGTGAAGTCTTTCTCAATATTCATCTTGCGATTCAAAGTTAAAATTATGCCATCAATATATTAATTATTTTAATTATAGAGAAGTTTAAATTCATGCTATCAATATATTAATTATTTAAAATTTGGCAAATCTTGATTGGATCGCATTCAACTCATCCAAACGTCACATTCAAATCTAAAATTGAAATGAAAAATGATCAATTTAAGTTGATTAAATGTTTTATAATTCTAATTTTTTTTTCCAAAGTTTCAGTTCTACATAAATNATACAAAAGTGAAGGATTTTAGAAATTGAGATAATGATAAAAGAAAATAAAAATACTAATTGATGATCATTTAGAATCTAATGTATGTGAATATTGTGAAGTATATAATAATAATAATAATAATAATAATAATAATAATAATAATAATAATAATTAATATTTACTTATTGATTATGTAGTGGATCGTGGTGGGTAGGCTGCAAACGAGTCGAACAGCTCACGAATCGCGAGTCAAGATGAATTGTCATAGGTCCAATTGTTTCACGAGTCGAGCTGGAGCATGAAAATCGAGTTGATCTATGCTCAACAAGGCCTCGTTTGTAACCTACACTGGTGGGTGTACAAAATGAATTGGGATGAGCACATTTTTAGTGGAAATAAATCGCATGTTGATTCACAATCAATAATAATGTGAACCAAATCTGTAGTACAAAAGAATTCACCTGGCCTGGACTCTGATGGCAGCCGCAAAACTAAGGTCCTAAACACAACCCAAGTCTTCCCAATTCACACATTAGAGGGTATAAAAGGGTTAGTGTGTGGTGTGTGGTGAAATCGAGCTTGTAAACCATGGAAGTTCCCGAGTTGCAGGTGGGTAGGAATGTGAAGAAGGCGATGAAGGCGATGAAGGCGAAGAGGGCATACTGGGAGCAGACGCACAACGTCGAAATCCAGAAATCTTCTTTCCGGGCAGTTATTTCCGCTCTCAAGAAATCCTCGTATTCGATTTTCGCCGACGATGGTTAGTACGAGTACGGCCATTTTTACGGGTCTGGCTTTCATATTTTGATAGTCTGTATTTTTTATTATTATTATTTTGGTTCTTTTCCATGTGTAGCAGAGCTCCGAATAATGGGGATCGAAGTAATTGAGGGAGCGTGCATGCTGGTGGCAGAGAGGTTCCGAAACTGCGTGTTCGAGAGAGGGTTTAAGGAGAGGCAAGACGAACTTTGCCGTGCGCTGGTGGATGTGAAGGAGCTGTGTGAGGCTCTGGACGAAGATAGCTGTGATTGGCTGGCTCGGGCCAGGCTCGAACGTGACGAGTCGTCACTTTCACTGGCCGAGTCCTTGGACAGATGGAGACATGTCTTTGACTCGCAATTCTACCAGCTGAGGAAGTTCCAAGAGTTTGGGCTGAGGCTCGAGAAGCAGCAGCTGACGACAATCTCCCCAATAGTGCGCGAAAACATTACAAATTTTGTGGAGAAAGTAAATCTCAGAATGTTTAAATTATTCAACAAGACCTTGATGGTCAGCCCATCTCATGTCAGGGAGGTGAGCTTTGGAAATGATGTTGACTTATATGATTTACATAACTTTCAAAATATATATATATATCTTTTTTTTTTCATAATTTTGTGTGTTGAATTGAAGGTTGTGAGCAGATTGACCGATGTTCCGCTTGTTGAGTTGTCCTCTTCCACTAGTTATCTAAAAAAAGAAGCCTCGCGCCTGGCGAAGAAGAGGCTGGTGGGCCTCGACAGCACGATCGATGGAATCTTTGAAGTTTTAGCAACCTCCTGCACGAATTTGGGCCGAGTACGGGCCAGGCCCAGGGGATTATTCCTCCTCGTGGGCCGAAGAGGGTCCGGCATCACAGAGATTGCCAAAGCCGTTGCCCAACATTGGTATGGAGATGCGAGCAGGCTTGTGGAGTTTGGGATGTGCAAGTTTTACGATGGAAACCCAATTGGAATGGCAACAAGGGATCCCGAGTCTTGGCCAAGGCACTTGATTGCTTTGCTTTGCTTCGCTTCCTATAATATAGATCATTAGTATTAGTGTACGTAGATTCTTTTGGATTTACCTCGACATCTTTGTGTGTTTTTGTAGAACCAAGGCAAGCCTCGAGCTTTTCTTGAGCCGTTTCTCGGAGGTTGTGAGGAAACGGCCCTATTCGGTGATTCTTCTCGATGGAATATATAGAGCGGGCTTTTGCGTTAAGGGTCTACTCCAAGTTTTAAGTGGTGATGCACCAACTGGAGTTGACTTTTCCAAGTGTATTATTTTCATGGCGGCAAGACGGGGGCGTGGTGTGGATGGGCTTAAGTTGAAGTGTAGATGCTTTGGCAAAAGACCACAGCTCGAGGAGGCATTCGAGCGCGATCCAGCAGGATTCGAGAGGGACCACGACTGTTTGCCGAAAATTTTGGAAGATGCTCTGTCCATGGTATGTACAAAATTTGTTCATCTCTTTTATTCTTACTTGCATTTTGTAATCGACTTATATTTGCAGGGAAGACGTTTAATTGGGTCCGAGCTGTTTGATTCTATGGTGGATAGAGCTTTTGCTGTGGATGTTAGGCACAATGAGAAGGCTGTTTTTAGAATGCTTCTTAGGGAGATGGTTAGTGAAGTTGGTGAGGGAAGGATTCTCGCGCATATCTCAGATGCTGCCTTGAACGCCATGCTTTGGAATTCACGTGCTAGTTTCGTAAGTAGACTGCTATGATATGATTTCCATTTTCATTTTTATATTTGTTGATCTGTTTTCATTCAGTCCATTATTGTTTTGGTCTTCAATAGTCGTTATCAATTCCCGGAAAGACTTTGAAAGAAATGTTGATTGAGGAGGTCCGGCCAAAGTTGGTGGCAGCCAGAGGTTGTTATAATAGCAATGTTATATTATATATCGACACCCTGATTGGAACTGGCGAGCTGTCGTTTAGATTTGAAAAGAACGAACGAGACCTAGCCGATGCCTACTTCAAGCACAAGGACGGGACATTTGGCTGCGTGGTGGCCAATTTGGGGCTAAAAGTGCAGTCAGCCTTCAATCTGTTTGTGTTCCACCAACAGATTATGCATCATTTGAGTCCCACCAATGAAAACAGTGTACAGTTGGGGAGGTCCCTGCTGAACATGTGCAAATATCTCTCGAATTTTTCTCCTTTGTCTCCGAGCTTGGAGGTACTTTTTTTTTCAAATTTCTTTGCANTATATATATTTATATATATTTAATATATACTCAACTTCACGCACGGCCATTCATAGGAGGTAGTAACAACAAGAGGAATAACAGTGACAACATCTAATAGTAATACTGGTGAAGAGAAGTCGAAGTTGAAGGAGGATATAATAGTGATGAGGAGTTTGTTAGCAAAAGCCGATACAAGTCCTGCTGAAGCAGTTACCCGTATCATAATCGATGCCATATTCAAGATGATTGATGCTCCACTGGAAGATTATTTCCCTCCAAATCCAAGATGTCACCTAATTTTATGCCCGCACGCTTATGATGCTAAGAGGCAACTGATTTTACGTCTGAGCGAATCCCTCAAGTCGAATTTCACGCACGTCAATCTGAGAAATAACATGAGCAGCGGCCATCAAATCAAGAAATTGCTGATGAAGTTTGTGAAGGAGAGACTTTTTGCTGTTTTCATGCTCGACGGAGTTGAGCATTCGGATGATGTCCTCTACAGAAGCCTTCTCGAGATTCTTGATAAGGGTGCTCTTATTGATGAGAGTGGTCAAACCGTTGACTTCCGGACAGCTATCTTTATCCTCACGTCAGAGGCTGCCAACAGGCAGGCAATTGCTGGCTTCTTTGATTCTGATACTCATGCTAAGCAGGTAGTGAAGTGAAGTGAATTTCATACGAATTAGTTACAATTTGCTTTCAATTAACTCACTCTCTACTTGGCAGAAAAATACGAAACGAGGTCGATCTGAGCTGCTTCCGTGGGTTTCGATGAATTATAGGCAACCTCCAGAGAAGGTAATTAAGATCTCGATAATTGGCTCACGCTATTAATAATCTCAATAATCTCTCTCTCACAAACTCAATTGTCTGCTTGACAGAGACGTAAAGTGGAGTCGCTTGCCCGGGTTGAAATAGTTTCCCACCGTGTCAAGGTAAAAAATATGTAATCGTTTAGCCTATATACAGACACTTGGATTTTTATTATTTTATTTTTTATTTTTCGAACTCATCATGTTAACTTATTTTTTTTCTTTTATGTGGCCTGGCAGGAGGTTAAACGATTTAGGACAGAATTAGTTAACCGGGTGAGTGAAATAATTCTTTTTAACCCGACAGGTTCACGCGAGCATGGACACATCCGCAGGCTTTCTAAATGCAACAGCTTCATCAAATGCTCCGCAACTAATGCTGTATCGGTTTCGAGCATCATTAGATTGTTCCAATGTGGCGGTTAGGCGGCTCATATTACTTAAATGCTTAATCTTTTGTTGATACTTACTTGTGTATCTTGTTTTGTACTCTCACATTTTTTTATTTTTTATTTTTAACATTTTGTAAGTGTGTTTGATTTGTTGTTTTTCACAATGTTGTTATTTTCCACAGATAGAGACGATGGGTTTTTTGATTATTTACAACAACAGTTGTCATCATCGCGTGTCAAATTCCATTTGTTGGGGAGCGCGGGAGATAACTGTGGAGTCGAGGAGACCTGTTCCTCGTAGTATCGATACTTTGTCTAACGAATCTCTACAGACACGATCCTCCTTACCATCGATGCTTTGTCTAGCGAATCTCTAACGACACGACCCTCCTTATTGCTATGGTAATTTTATATTTTAGACAAATGAAAACTATTAATGATTTCCAGAGTCCACCTATTTATCTATGAATTAAATGTAAGAAAAAATTTATTTTGTATCTAATTTTTTGGGTGGTCTAAATCTGGAGCTGTTGGACAAGTTTCAATTGATTTTTTGTGTCTCATTTGTGTCTCTCCCCTTTAAGAATTCAAATTCAAAAGCTGTGTTGCACGAGTGCATTAATGTTACTGGTTTTCCCTTTCAAACCTGCACCTGCATAAAAATCTCTCGCAGTTGATGCAATCTTTTGTCGGCATTGCAAAAGAAAACAAACGAGCTTTTAAATAAGGAACAACATAAGTTATGTTTGGAGGTATTGTTTCTGACTCTTAACCAGACTCCCCTAACTATTCTCTGCTCTTCTCAAATTTCGAGAACGATTTCACCCTCACATATTTTTGACTTGTCAATTCTCAGTATATGTAATTAAAATTGGAGACAATGAGATTATATTACTATCGTTGTAATCAATCAAAACTATACCAAGATTTATGGATACTGTTGAGGAGAGCGACATCTTTATTGGGATAAGATCACATAGTACGTTCAATTTACGCTACAATCTTGGAATCAATTGCTTCGACCAACGACATTGGTCTATCCACCAATGAAAAGAAGTCGCATCCTCCTCCTCTATGGAAAAATGAAACCACGGCTGCAAAATCAACCCGTAACCCACGAAGAAATGGCTGTAATCGCACTAACCATTGTCGGCGAAAATCGAATATGAGGATTTCTTGAGAGCGGAAACAAGCTTTCTCGATTTAGACGCTGTACGTCTGCTCCCAGTGTGCCCTCTTCGCCTTCATCGCCTTCCTACGCACCTGCAACTCCGGAACTTCCATGGTTTACAAGCTCGATTTCACCACACACACACCCTAACCCTTGTACACCTCTAATGTGTGTATTCAAATTTTGGCAGATGTTGGAAGACTTGGGATTGTGTTGTGTTCAGATATGCGGCTGCCGGCTGCCATCAAAAGTCCAGGCCAGGTGAATTATTTTGTACTCCAAATTTGGTTCAAATTATTTATTGACTATGAATCAACAAACGATTTTTTTCCACTAAAAATGTGCTCATCCCAATTCATTTTGAACACCCACACGAGTCGAGTATGGACCTTGTCGAGCATAGATCGAATTTTTTTTTCACTCCTCGATTTGACTCGTGAAACAAATGGAAATGTTCGAGATCTACTCTATGCTCGAGATTGGTTTGATGCTCGAGATCGACTCTAGTTCGCTCGAATTTTAACAGCTATAATTAGTATGATTGGTATGATAAAATGGAATTTTGTAGGAATGGAATGAATTGCAGAATGGAATGATTATGAGAATGAAATGAAACATGTTTTGTCATTGATGCGTTTGGTATGCAGAAGGAATATGACTGGAATGGAATGACATTATTATTCTTTATTATAAAAATAAATAAAAACTTTTTTTAAAAAATAATATACTTTTAATAAAATATAAATGCTTTTTTAATAATATATAAAAATAAAATTATTTTTTAAAATAATATATTTTTAATACTATATATTTTTAATATTTTTCAACAATATATTTTTAATACTATATATTTTTAATATTTTTCAACAATATATTTTTCATAATATATTATTAATAGTAATATATTTTTAATATATAAAAATAATATATTTTTAATAATATATAAAAATAAAATAATATATTTTTAAATTATATATAAATGCTTATTTTAGTTTTATTTTTATATAAGTATTTAATATATCTAATTAAAAAATAAATAAAAATAAGTTTTCAATTTTTTTATTTGATTTTTTTTTAAAAAAATAATTTTATTTAATATATTTTAATCATGATTTATAGTATATATTATATATTTATTTATTATTGATTAATTTTATTTTTTGAAAAATTGATTCCTACACAAATGGGAATAAGAAAACCTTCCATTTACTATGGAATGGTCATTCCTTCCCAAAAAATATACCAATCATGGGATAAGGAATGAGTAAGGGAATGATCATTTCATTCTCATTCTCATGTCATTCTTTTCTACCAATCATGCCATAACTTCCTAAGGATTAGTGGATCAAGGTCAAGCTGCAGTAGAAATGCTGAACGAGAGAAATTCCTTCATATGTAACCCAACAACGCAGGCCCCATTCGAATTTAATGAAGCCCCTCAGCATTGACCAAGTTAAGATTAACGTCGTCTTCTATTAACGACCAATCACCAACAATAAATACACATCCTCACCACATTGACCCATTAAATCTCTAATAAACCACGAGTCAAGTTCAGTCCAGTTCACGTCTATGCAACCGACATGAAACCCGCCAACGCACACATAAACTTTATTAAATAAAAACAGTACGTATATTAAATTAAAGCTCATTCAGCCATTCATAACTTAAGAAGTTCGAGGAACAGGTCTCCTCGACTCCACAGTTCTCTCCCGCGTTCCCCAACAAATGGAATTTGACACGCGACGACGACAACTGTTGTTGTAAATAATAAAAAAACCCGTCGTCTCTATCTGTGAAAAACAACAACATTGTAAAAACACAACAAATCAACCACACATATAAAATGTTAAAAAAAAAAAAAAAATGATGGGATAAAACAAGATACACAGTAAGTAACAACATAGGATTAAGCAATTAGGTGATATGTATCTCCTTACCGCCACAATGGAACAATTTAATGATGCTCGAAACCGATACAGCATTAGTTACGGAGCATTTGATGAAGCTGTTGCATTTAGAAAGCCTGCGGATGTGTCCATGCTCGCGTGAACTTGTCGGGTTAAAAAGAATTATTTCACCCACCCTGTTAAGCAATTCCGTCCTAAATTGTTTCACTTCCTGCCATGCCACATAAAAGAAAAAAACTAAGTTAACATGATGAGTTCGGAAAAAAAAAAAGAAAAAAAAAAAAGAAAATCCAAGTGTCTCTGTATATAGGCTATAGCTATTATCTTACAAGATCAACCATTACAATTTTTTACCTTGACACGGTGGGAAACTATTTCAACCCGGGCATGCGACTCCATTTTACGTCTCTGTCAAGCAGACAATTGAGTTTGAGAGCGAGATTATTGATATTATTAATACGCGAGGCAATTATCGAGATCTTAGTTACCTTCTTTGGAGGTTGCCTATTCATCGCAACCCAAGGGAGCAGCTCAGATCGACCTCGTTTCTTATTTTTCTGCCAAGTAGAGAGTGAGTTAATTTCTGATGAGCACAATTATCAAGTATGGAGTTTAAGGACCAAAATTGTTGTAATAGTACACTAGTTAAGCTCAGTTGCAAAACTATATATTGGTACACCCACATTTAAAAATTGAAAGCATAACGAAAACAAATTGTAACTAATTCGTACGAAATTCACTTCACTTCACTACCTGATAAGTATTAGCATCAGAATCAAAGAAGCCAGCAATTGCCTGCCTGTTGGCAGACTCTGACGTGAGGATAAAGATAGCTCTCCGGAAGTCAACGGGTTGACCACTGTCGTCATCAATGAGTTCACCCTTATCAAAGATCTCGAGAAGGCTCCCATAGAGGACATCATCCGAATCCTCAACTCCATCAAGCATGAAAACAGCAAAAAGCCTCTCCTTCACAAACTCCATCAGCAATTTCTTGATTTGATGGCCGCTGCTCGTGTTATTTCTTAGATTGATGTGCGTGAAATTCGACTTGAGGGATTCACTCAGACATGAAATCAGTTGCCTCTTAGCATCATAAGCGTGCGGGCATAACATTAGGTGACATCGATTATAATCTTCCAGTGGAGCATCAAACATCTTGGATATGTCATCGATTATGACTCGGGTAACTGCTTCAGCAGGACTTGTATCGGCTTTTGCTAAGAAACTCCTCATCATCACTATATCCTTCAACTTCGACTTCTCTTCACCCGTATTACTATTAGATGTTGTCACTGTTATTCCTCTTGTTGTTACTACCTCCTCCAAGCTCGGAAACAAAGGAGAAAAATTTGAGAGGTATTTGCACATGTACAGCAGGGACCTCCCCAACAGTACACAGTCTCCATTGATTGGACTCAAATGACGCGTAATCTGTTTGCGCAACTCAAACAATTTGCAGGCTGACTGCAGTTTTAGCCTCAAGTCGGCCACCACGCTGCCAAATGTCCCGTCCTTGTGCTTGAAGTAGGCATCGGCTAGGTCTCGTTTGTTCTCTTCAAATCTAAACGACAGCTCGCCAGTTCCAACCAGGGTGTCGATGTATACAATAACATTGCTATGATAACAACCTCTGGCAGCCACCAACTGTGGCCGGACCTCCTCAACCAACATTTCTTTCAAAGCCTTTCCAGGAGTTGATAACGACTGCCAAAATTGTATTGAAGAGCAAAATGAATGAAAACAAATCAACAATAAAATGAAATCAAAGCAGTCTCCACTTACAAAACTAGCACGTGAACTCCAAAGCATGGCGTTCAAAGCAGCATCTGAGATATGCACGAGAATCCTTCCCTCACCAACTTCTCTAACCATCTCCCTAAGAAGCATTCTACAAACAGCCTTCTCATTGTGCCTAGCATCCACAGCAAAAGCTCTATCCACCATAGAATCAAACAGCTCGGACCCAATTAAACGTCTTCCCTGCAAAATAATAATAAGTCAGATTACAATGCATGTGGAAAACAACCTAAGAATAAAACAAATTAGTAGATACCATGGACAGAACATCTTCCAAAATTTTCGGCAGACAGTCGTGGGCCCTCTCGAATCCCGCTGGATCGCGCTCGAATGCCTCCTCGAGTTGTGTTCTTTCACCAAAGCACGTACAGTTCCCCTTAAGTCCAGCACTCCCCCGTCTTGCCGCCATGAAAATAATACACTTGGAAAAGTCAGCCCCGGAGGATTCATCACCACGTAAAACTTGGAGTAGACTCTTAACACAAAAGCCGGCGCTATATATTCCATCCAGAAGAATCACAGAATAGGGCCGTTTCCTCACAATCTCCGAGAGACACTTCCAGAAGAGCTCGAGGTTTGCCTTGGTTCTACAAAACACACAAAGATGGTGAAGTAAATCCAAAAGGATACACGTATACTAATAATACAAATAATAATTTATGTTATAGGAAGCAATCCTTATCCAGTGCCTTGGCCACGACTCGGGATCCCTTGTTGCATTTCCAAAGGGGTTTCCATCGTAATACTTGCACATCTCAATCTCCACAAGCCTGCTCACGTCTCCATACCAATGTTGCGCAACGGCATTAGCAATCTCTGTGATGCCGGACCCACTTTGGCCCACCAGGAGGAATAAACCCCTGGGCCTGGGCCCTCCTCCTCGGCCCAAATCTGCTAAAGCTTCAAAGATTCCATCGATTGTGCAGTCCAGGCCTACCAGCCTCTTCTTCGTCAGGCGGCAGGCTTCTTTTTGTAAATAATTTAAACCAGTGGAAGAGGACAACTCAACAAGCGGAACATCACTCATTCTGCTCACAACCTCCCAGACATGAAGTGGGGCGACCATCAAGGTCCTGTTGAATAATTTAAACAGCCTGAGCTTAACTTTCTCCAGAAAATCGATAATGCTTTTGCGCACTTGTGGGGAGATGGTCGTCAGCTGCTGCTTCTCGAGCCTCAACCCAATCCCTTGGAACATCCTCAGCTTGTAGACCTCATTCGAGTCAAGGACTTTTCTCCAATCGCCCAAGGACTTGGCCAGTAAAAGTGACGACTCGTCACGTTCGACCCTGGCCCGCGCCAGCCAATCACGGCTATCTTCGTCCAGAGCCTCACACAGCTCCTTTACATCCACAAGCGCACGACAAAGTTCGTCTTGCCTCTCCTTAAACCTTCTCTCGAACACGCAACTTCTGAACCTCTCTGCCACCCACTTGCACGCTCCCTCCATTACTTCCTTCCCTATTCTTTGGATCTCTGATACACCTGGAAAAGAACAAGAAAAAAATTGAACCGCGGCTGCAAAAAAACAGAGTTTTTATAAAAATAAATAAATAAACCAGGGCTGCAAAATCAACCCGCAACCCACGAAGAAATGGCCGTAATCGCACTAACCATCGTCGGCAAAATTCGAATACGAGGATTTCTTGAGAGCGGAAATAACTTCCCGGAAACAATCTTCCTTGATTTTGACGCTGTACGTCTGCTCCCAGTGCGACCTCCTCTCCTTTATCGCCTTCATCACCTTCCTACCCACCTGCAACTCGGGAACTTCCATGGTTTACAAGCCCGATTTTCCACTTACACCCTCTATAATGTGTGTGTTCAAATTTCGGCAGATGTTGGAGTTGGAAGACTTGGGATTGTGTGTTAGGTTTCACACACGTAACTTGCTGCCGCCATCAGAGTCCAGGGGCCACGTGAACTCTTTAGTACTACTGTGCTACAAAGAAATTTGATAAATATGAATCAACAAAGTGGTTGTTTTTCACTAAAACTAGTACTAGATTAGTATATAAATAGTTGCCAATTTTAATAGTATTTTTTATTTTTTCTTTAATTTTGTTAACATACAATAGTTTACAATATAGGTTTTATACTAGTGTATTTCACCCTACTCAAATTCTATATGACAATATTATTTCATAAAAATTTGTGTCAAATATTATAAACTGACATTTAATTTAAAAATAGTGCGGTGTATATTATTATAAACTGACATTTAAATCTCATCCTTGAGGTGTCTACAATTATGAGTCGTAGTCTCGGTGGAACCTGCAATAACGAATCGACTTCGGTTGAGTTGGTCCGTCCCTCTTCGACTTCGACCGCGTGACTGCTAGACCGTCAATCCTCTGCTCGATCGCCTACCTCTTGCCATTTTTGAGTGGTCGATCCTATCATTTGTCCTCTTATCGCCACTCTGACCTACTCTGCTAGTCGCCCTGGGGACGGAGGAAGGTGAAGATGGTCAACTTCGTGGTTGTGGGAGCTGAGTCGTCGTATAATATCATTCTAGGGAAGACGAGCTTGAATGCCTTTTAGGCGGTGGTGTCGACGTATTAAGTATCCGGTTGGCAAGAGAGTTGGGGAGGTCGTACGAGATCAATTGACGTCGAAGACCTATTATTAGACCACAGTTGGAGTGAATAGGCGGAATGCAAGGAGATTGAATGCCCCGAATGAGGAAGAGGTGAGCAAGCCAAGTGGTTCGAGGTCGAAAGGAAAGCAGAAGACAGAAATTCAGCCTGGAGAGGAGGTCCAAGAGACCCAGACGATCGAAGGGAGCGGAGAGAGGAAGTTCAGGATTAGAGCTAAGTTGGAGGATCCTTTGAGGTCGGAGCTGACCAGGTTGGTGAGATAGTTTGTCGATATTATTGTTTATACTTCAGAAGAGCCGACTCAGATTGATGCAAGCATTATTCAGTATCGCTTGAACATCAACCTCGACGTTCGGCCGATGCGGCAAAAGAGACGCCACCATGGAGCATAAATGGACAGATTATCAAGCAAGAGGTTGATAAGCTATTGCAAGATGTGCATGTGGTCGAGATCCAACTTCCTGTGTGGTTGTGCATTGATTTTAGGGACCTCAACAACGCGTGTCCTAATGATGTCTACCCAACCTAATAAAAAAGAAAAAGAAAAAAACTAAATTTAGGTTCAAATTTACAAATGCTTCCTTAAGAGATTATTTTGCTAAAACTGCACGCTCCTTTGCACAGAAATTCTCTTCAATTTGGCAGCAGGTCGGAGAAAAAGCACCGAGAAGCACGTGCGGACAATATTTCTTCAGGTTAGTCCGTAAACAGCCCCACAAACAAGGTTTATTTTACAGTTCAGTTTGATTTTTTACTTTTAGGTTAGTCTGTGGTGCCTTCTTTCTGTGCGCATCTTAATTTCCTTTTTGGAGATTGTCGTTGTGCACGGTTGATTGTTGTGGAATAGGAAATAGTTTATGTATTGTACTGTTTCTTGTGTTTCGGGTGCTAAATTTGGTTTTTTAGCTTCAAAGAAGAAGTAGAAATTGTTATATGTACAAAGTTCTGTAGATAGTCTCTTTAATGCCTTGGTTTGAATTTAACTTTTTTTTTTTATATATATATATATATATATATCAGTACATTTTTTGTTGTTCTATGCTCAAGCTGCATATTATTATGTGTGTCCCTTTGCTCTGTACGTGCTTGAAATGAGTAATAGCTTTTCTTTGATGTGTTTGAGATGCTCAAACTTTTGGTTGCCAGTACAAATAAAAAAATATATAATTTTCATACGTCATAGGGTATGTTAGATTAGGATGCTTGGTACAATGATTTTTAGTTGAATATATAGCTTAAATTTACAATGAGGTTAGATTTTCATGGCCCGCTCTTTATGCTATCTAAAATATGTCAATTATTTTAAAATATTCTTAGACATTTAAATGTGTTCTATTTATCAGGCTAAACTAACATTTGTAGGTACAAACAATGGATGACGAAGGACCAGCGCTGCCTAGATTTTCTATTCTTTCGGTAATCTTCAAGTGTAAAATGTGACATTATGTGTAATTTGTTTTTTTTTTTTTGGCAACTGGGATATGATCAAGATTCAAGGGTACTATGACGCTAGGAACAACATGAACTTCGGACTGCCGATGCCGTTTTATGAAATGAGTCATAGTAATGTAAGTTGGTCTTGCCTTTTCTACCCCAAATTGTATATGTATTGTTCAAATTTATATTTCAGGTTTTTCAATCTTGAATTTCCCCAACACAGTTAGCATCCCCACACCTGAAGTTAGCGCGTGCCGTTGATTTTGATTTTATCGACATTGGTTTATCAAATATGTTGGGTTCGCAATGTTTGAGTTTGATAAATTGTTTGAAAAGAAGGATACGAAGGCTCGCCTGAAAGAAAGGTGTCCATCGATTCTTGAAGCAAAGGGGTAGTTTCGTTAGATCGCAAGCTGACGAACAGCGTCCCCTCGAATCAACCCTTAAAGGTTCATAACATCGGCTAAAAGCATTAAATTTGGCCAAGAGTGACTTGCATTACGAAGTTGTAACATCGTTGTTGTCGTTGTCAGTAATAATTTGTTGTATCGTAGACATCACTTCTTCAATCCTGTCTGATATTACTTGGAATTGGTATTGAGGATATTTTGGTTTTAATATGGGAGAATGCTACCATCCCGTTACGGGATGGTTCCGTTGTGTTTTCTAGCCATAGATGTACATATAATCTAGTGATGGGTAGTTAATCCAACGGTTAAAAACACAACGGAACCATCCCGTAACGGGATGGTAGCATTCCCCTTTAATATGTGGTATCAGGTGACGGATTTTGACGGACTCTGGATGCTCACACTATTATCTATATATATATATATATAATTACTAGCTCAAAACATTAAAGAAAACCTCATAAATTTTACCTAGTTGGCACTTTTTTCCAATTCCCGCCAATTTCCGTTACATTTTATTTATTTTTCGTTTTTTATTTTCTTCATTCAAGAACACCTCAATTTTGGGGATGAATAAATGTATAAACTTGGAAACAAAACAATTCTGCCATTAATACGAGTTATTGAAAATGTTCACAAATTTTTTTAAACAATTAATTAGTCTGCTCAGTATATTATTTATTTTGTTATGCATAGTATCTTGAAATAAATTAACGAACAACAAATAAAAACTAAATAAAAGAAAATACAACCACCATAAAAACAAATTATAAATGAATATAAAATTCAAAAGCTCCTTCTCAGCAATAGTGTTTGCAATTCCTGCAAAAAGAAAAAAATTACATATCAAATTAGTAGTAATTATCAAATTAAAGTTGCAGGCATGTATACATGAAATTATTTTCATCAAGCCGTTAAAACTATTTTCATCTAGCCTCATTGTCTGCTTTCTTTCATCTAGCCGTTACAAGTTCAAAATCATTCAAGATTTTTTAACAATATAATTATTTTCGAAATGTACAGATCTTAGTAGATCTGTTAACAATATCATATAATTAAAAAAAACGGAACATATAAATTTTTGAAATTCATAGATCTCGATAGATCTTAGTTGTAATCGACCGATTTAAATCGAAGTACTAATAATCTGTAAGTCGATTTTGTAACTTGGTCTACTTTGCTATTAATTAAAAAAGAAAACCCCAAAAAATATTTTGAAAACGATAGATCTTCCAAGATCTTATTTGTAATCGTCCGATTAAAACGAAATATTACAAATCAGTAAATTGAATTTTTAACATCTGATCGATTTTTATTTTTCGATCTCTTTTTACCTCGAAAATGCATTTCCGAGGTGTTTTTTTTCCCAATTTCCGTTTGTTCAACGAAGCAAATCCCCGGAAAATCACACGTCGTTTTTCATTACCGGCGAAATTTTTTTAAGAAAGGCTGAGAAAAAAGGTTTGGGTCGGAGAAACTTAGAACAGAGAGAGAGACACATAGAGATAGATCGCCGAAACAAGAAGAAGAAATGACGTGATTTCAGCCATTTTAGGGTTTGGACCCGTTATATATTATGGTTACACGTATGTGGGTCACGTGTCTCTTTAACATCCTGCGGAGAAGTTTTAAACTGGGCTGGAATTTTCATGTTATAAAAACAAGCATATGGACGGGCTTAAATTGGTCTTCAACAATGCTTAAATTTGGCTGGATTTGGAACAATATGTATGTAATTTTAAATTTTGCTTTATTTTGAATGACTGACCCAAAAGCCGTATGGACGAAATATGCAAAGACTGGCCTAAAATAGTTTCACCAGCTAAAAAATAAAATTATATCTAAACTTTTTAGCAATAAAATTTATTACATAATTTAACTATACAAATTTAAATATTCTGAAATAGGTATAAATTTATGAAATTATTAACAATAAATTTTATTATTACATTAATTCATCATATCCCATTAATAATAAAATATTTTCTTACACATTTTTTTGTTAATTAAGACAAAAACCGTTAACAATTATATTTTTTATTGTATCATATAATAGTTATTATTAAGATTAATAATTATATTTTACACTAAATGATATATGAAAGTTAAATAAACATAAAAAATTATATTGTAAAAACTTTTTGTTCAAGTTATTTATTCTAAGATCAATATTATATTTTTTTATTTGATTAAGTGATAGTATTAAAAAAATAATTTATTTTAATGTTATAGTAAAATTACTTAAAATTTCATAAGCAATTGTTATAATAAATTTAATATTTTTCAGCTAATTAATTAGTCATTATCCCTCAAATTTATAAAAATTACATTATTTCTAACATTTATGCAATCAATATAAGTGATTCATATGCTATTTCTTTTAACCAATGATTAATGTAAAACATAATACCATTTTCTAACTTATAACTCATAATACTCTATGTTTAAAACATAATACCATTATCTAACTTATAATTTTAGTAT